GTTTGCGTCCTTAGATTTTTCCTTTCAGTGAAGGGTGGGTGGTACTTGGCAAATATATTTGATACTGAAGTCAACATCAATGCTTTTTACTTGTAATGTGATGTTTATTGAATAACTTTGATATTGCAGACACGCCTCCTGGTGGTGAAACAGTTTGTTGTAATTAAACAGTAAGTTGGCACCACCTGTCATGGATTATGAACAAACAAGTCTTTTTTCATTTCTGTCTTAAAGTAATTTTCTTTTTTGCTATCTGTGGTAGAACTAATGCTTTATGTTTAAGCAGGTGATTCATGACGTCCTTTAATGACCCAGGTTTTTATGACATGCTGTTCATCTGCAGACAGAATGATTAAAGTCACAACAAGATTTATTAGTCCATGACACTATCTGAAACAGAAAACAAAACACAAATCATTTTAAAAGTTTCGTTCATCCCTTTTTGACACTAAGAACGAGAAACGCTTTATATTTTAATTTCAATATTTTAAAACAAAAATCAAATATCCAATCAGTTCTTGTTTTTTTAATACCCGTTTCAAAAATGAAAATCCACTGACCAAAGGACACACTGACCCTTTGCTAGGAAGTTTATACATTGTTGCTAAAGCTAAAGAAGACAATAATTATCTAAAAGCTAAACTGAATCAAATGCCAGCTAAAAGCTAAAAGGCAAAGTAGCTAAACTAGTAAAAGTAAAAATAGCAAAGTGTTAATTAAAATTTAATAAAAAATTAGCTTTAACCTTGTGAAGTGGCAAAAGGCCAACAGTGACACAAGGCTCACTAAAAGCCAAAACTATGTCAACTAAAACTAAACCTAAAACTGGCAAATAGTTAGCYAAAGGCTAGCTTAAAAAGGCTGTGGGTTAAAAAAAAATATCAAAAGAATGGCTAAAAAAACCTTTTTAAACTCTGGGTCCTCGAGCCTGTTTTTCTCAGAAATTATTCAGGATTTATTATGTTGTAAACATGATAGAAGAGAAAAAAAATAACGATGCTGCAGACATTTAATTGAAAAGGTGAAACGTGTAATAGAAAAATAAAACAATCAACTCAGAAATCCACAGAAACACAGCCCTTCTTCTGGTGATCAAAAGCATTTTATGAAGTTTACATTTTCAAATATCTAAAAAACTTTAAATCACATTAAATAGTTTAAAAATACACATCAAGAAACATTTACAAACAGCTTTATATTAAAAGCTACAGTGAAATACACATTACAAACATGATTTAAATAATAAAGAAACCTGTATAAATAAACTGAAAACATAAACCTCCGTTTTAAATCTGTTTTTATAAATAGAAACTGTCCAAATGAAATTCACAGCCATAAATCAAGAACAACTTCAATGTTTACAGCTGATAAAAACCAAGTTAGTTTTCAACACCTTAAACAAGAGCAGACATAAATAAATGGAGGATGAATCCTAACAAATGTTGAAGGCTGGTTTWTTTAAACTTGGCTTTTTGCAGCTCAGTGAGTTCAAGTTTCCTGCTTCCAGAGCTGGAGGGTTCAAATTAACACATCCATGTGACAAACAGAAACATATACAGACTAGCTGCTGTTTGATCTGAATATGAACATTAAAAACATGCTACATATTTTGGAAAAATATCCAAAAAAATAACTAAATAAATAAAAAAGCTATCGTGATCCAATGCTCATCTTTCAATTTATAAAATGCATTTTCCACAGTTCAATTTTTTAAACACAAATACATAGCAACAGTTTTATGCGCCAGTTTTACTAAACTAAAAAACGAGTTTAAAACATACATGACCTGTTTCACAATAAAAGCACCATCACAGAATAAAGGAAGCAGCTGTTACAACTAAACCATAAATTCTGGGGACAAACACAAACACAGCCAACAGATTAAACATTTTAACAGAATTTGAATCATAAATCAGGTGAGATAAAGTCCTTTCATCACTGGAAACCCAAAATAATACAAGAGCAAAACTCTGACTTTAAACTGAAACTAATCACATCCAAACAATCATGATGTAAAGTCTGGTACAGAGGATCCAATGGGTCAAAAAAAAAAAAACCACAGAATGTGTATAGAGAGATTTATTAAGAATCTGGATATGATGAGAGCTGCAGTATGGTTATGCAAGCTCTCAGGAGGAACTTAAAGACAGATTAGCAGTATGGCCCCTCAATGGGTGAACTTCAGAGATTTCACAGGAAACTCCCCAATTGGTCTTTTTGAATGACTCAGAAACCAAACATGGATTGAAAAAGAAAAAAAATTGTATAGGTCTTCTGGACGGGTTCTTCTCT